CTATGGTGTCCCTGGTTCGATGCTTGTCTCTTAGTTCTTGGGCCGTGGTCTCATCTTTGGGGGCTACAGTGTCGTCACTTGTAATTATTCGGATTGCTCCCACTGTGTGCATGGTATGCGCATAGCATGTGTAGTGTATAGCGGTGTGTCGTTTATAGTGGGGGCTGTGCACAGAGCATAGTGGTGTATAGTGACATGTGCACAGAGCATTGTGGTGTATAGTGACTAGTCCTGGGAGGGAGTGAGTGCTCAACTTCGCCTCATCACACATCTTCCGCTCCTCCCTTTTCCCCACCACCCACCACAAGGATGGGAGACCCATGAACCACTTGCGGTATGTACCATGCGCCATATTCCCTTCAACGTGGGCTTACCACACAGTTTGAGGTATGGCAGATGATGCAGCCAGTCTGTCACAAAGCCAGGGAAACAGTGCACCCAACCATGAAAGAAAAGACACATGTCAGGTGGGTGGAGTGTTTTGAGCACGCAACAGGGATGGCCTTATTCGTGCACACCATGGGTGTACGGGATCACACACTGCCCCCAGCAGAGAGTAGCCCACAGCCTCCACAGGCAGATGACAATTCCAATGGCAACCTCCTCACTTGTGATAACCTTCTGTTGGCATTCAAATCCACTGCTAGAAGTACCCTAACCCACATCCCTAATGCGGCTCGCCCATATGTAGCAGGAAAATTCACAGACCTTATTAAGCAGGTGAATGGAGGTTCCACCAACTTAGAAGCCCGAAGCCCCATCCAAGCATGGCGCAACCTACTCCTGTTTGGCAATGTCTGTCTTGCAGTTCCTGAAAGACGAGGCAAACTGCTAACCATATCAGTCATCAAGGCAGTGTGCAACTACCGAAGAACGGATAATTGTGTCCCTCTGCCCCATAATCGCAGGAATCACATAGGAAGACCCAAGAAAAGTTCCACTAAAAACGAGAAAATCTGCGCACAGGTTAGCAAAAAAATCGAAGAAGGTAACACAGTGGGAGCAATCAGAATATTTACAAGTGACGACACTGTAGCTCCCGAAGATGAGACCACAGCCCAAGCACTAAAAAACAAGCATCCAACCAGGGATACCATAGCCATCAACAACAACCCTGAGGAAGACCCCATCACTGAACAATTAATTTTGCCAGAATCAGAAGTCTATAAGGCGAATGTGTCATTTGCAGCAGGATCTGCAGGAGGTTACACTGGAATTCGACCTCAGCACCTCAAAGAGATGGTAAATCCAGTACTCGGTGCATCTGCATCAATTCTTCTCACCGAGTTAACAACTTTCGTCAACAACTGGCTGGCTGGACGAATCCCTGAAGAAATAAAACCTTTCTTTTTTGGAGCCTCACTATGTGCTTTGAAGAAGGATGGGGGAATCAGACCCATTGCTGTTGGTAACACTCTTCGCCGTCTCTTTGCCAAAACAGCAGTAAGGAACATTCGCCTAGAAGCTGCCAGTTTACCCCAGCCACACCAACTGGGGTTTGGGGTCTCTCAAGGCAGTGAAGCCGCAGCTCATGTGGCAACGGCCTACATCAAGGACCTACCAGAAGACAAGGCTGCAGTCAAACTTGATTTTAGAAATGCCTTTAATATGGTGAAGAGACAAGTAGTCTTGCCAGCCTATCGGGATCGGTTCCCCAGTCTTTGTCCCTTCATTTCAGCCGGCTACAGCAAACCCTCAATTCTGTTGTTTGGAGAACATGAAATTCTCTCATCAGAGGGTATTCAGCAGGGTGACCCACTCGCTCAACTTCTCCTCTGCTTGGCAGTAAGAGAACTAACTTCCAGCCTACGCAGCGAGCTCAACATCTGGTACCTGGATGACGGCACTCAGGCAGGTACTGAAGAGTCCCTGGCAGGGAACCTACAACTGGTGAAAACACAGGGAGAAGACTTGGGACTCATCCTCAATCCCTCCAAGTGTGAAATAATCACAGCAAACCAGGAAATAATCAATGCCATGCGAAAAATCCTCCCAGAAGTCTCTACTACAACTCCATCCAACAGTACCCGTTTGGGAGCACTGCTGGGTCACCAGGCCATCGACACTGTCCTCAAAGACAAATTGAATGGCCTGATGAGAATGGAGGAGAGAATAAGCGATCTTGATGCCCATGATGCTCTGTATCTCTTCACAAGGCGTCTAACTATGCCAAAACTCACTTCCTGAGGTGTGCACCCTCTTTTGACAACCCAACACTCAACGAATATGAATCACACCTGAGATCAACCTTTAAGAAGGCACTGAACCTGTCACTAGAGGATCAGCAATGGGATCAGGCAACCCTCCCAGTGCGACTGGGAGGTATAGGGGTGCGCAAAGCAACGCATGTTGCTTTACCTGCTTTTCTGTCTTCGTGTTTGGCTTCCAGTGCATTAGTCAAGAAGATTGCTCCCAAACGCTTGAGAGACGTGGTAGGAGCTCAAGACCCCAGGTTAACTGAAGCAGCGATTCGGTGGGACACCCTTACAGATTCCTCCAGTAGACCAGCTCCTCCCAAAGAACACAAACAATCCCACTGGGACAAACCGATCATGGAAAAAATCGCCAACACAATGCCCACCAACGCTTCAGGAAAGAACAAAGCTCGTCTCTTGGCAGTGAAGGCACCACACTCAGGAGATTTCCTTTTAGCTGTTCCCAGTTCCTTCCTGGGCATTCGACTCGACCACAGGCCATTCGGATTGGTGTTGCTCTTTGCCGAGCCGCCCCATCCTCACCGAACATAGGTGTACTTGCGGCATGGCGACGGCTGATCAATTCGGACTTCATGGTCTCGTGTGTCACACAGCAAAAGGGAAGTATGCCTGGTATGAGGAGGTCAATGACATCACAAAGAGAAGTCTCGCCACAGCCCGTTGCCCAGCTCAACGGGAACCCCAAGTGCAGAGGTCTGACGGAAGTCAGAAGCTTCCTGATGGAGCCACTATACTACCCTGGAAGGATGGAAAGCAGATTGCCTGGGACTACACCTGTGCCGCCACATTGGCAGACACCTACTTGCCATACTCCAAAGCTGAAGGGGGTGGAGCTGCCAGCAATAGAGAGACCCAGAAGATCCGCAGATATGAAGACCTTTCCTCTTGCTCTAACTTCATCCCAATAGGGCCGGAGACCCTTGGAGTATGGGGCATGTGTGCTCTAAAGTTCCTCACAGAGCTGAGTGAAAAGCTCATCATACAAACCAAGGCCCACAGGGCGACCAGCTTCCTCTTTCAGAGACTCAGTGTTGCGATCCAGAGAGGAAATGCCTGCAGCATTTTCGGCAAGCGGCCCACAGCCGGGGAGCTGGACGAAGTATTCGAGATGTAGCTCAGAGTTGTTATCTATATTGTTTTACATTCTATTGTATTTTTGTGAATTTTTTTTAATGTATTTTGACTTGAAATAAATATATATATTAAATATAGGGGGTGGTAGGAGAAAATTCCCAACAGCTTCAGGAAACTAAGTATTTCTTGAAGCAGGTTATTGGTGTTCTGAGGATGAGGTCCCAGACATTCACAGGTGGAACCTTCATTATTATATATATATTTATATATATATATAATATATATATATATTATATTTATATATATATATATATATATATAAATATATATATATATATATATATATATATATATATATATATATTATATATATATATATATATATATATATATATATATATATATATATATGCAATAAGATCACAGTAAACAGGTGATTTCAAAATATGCAAAACAACCACTCTGAAAGAATAGAGAAATTCCAAGCGCTTTCGTGACTACTCACATTATCAAGGAACTATGAAAGTGAAGCATCCAAGGAAGCTATATAAGGGGTCGGCCAGCACCTCACTATCAGATCCCACAACGGTTAAACACGTGACGCGCGGCGAGCCAACTTGGATAGGTCCTTTGCAAAACTCACCCCCAAGCTATTTATTTGTCCAGTGTATTATTAAATTCTACCCAAATTCTATTAATTATAAATGGATCTAATTTATATAAACCAAAGGAAATATTCATATTATTGTCAAAACTGCTTTTTATGAAACAAGATTCAATTATATTCCTGTCGACCATGGACTTGCTTGATACTACTTTCTCAACCGTTGTGGGATCTGATAGTGAGGTGCTGGCCGACCCCTTATATAGCTTCCTTGGATGCTTCACTTTCATAGTTCCTTGATAATGTGAGTAGTCACGAAAGCGCTTGGAATTTCTCTATTCTTTCAGAGTGGTTGTTTTGCATATATATATATATATATATATATATATATATATATATATATATATATATATATATATATATATATATATATATATATATATATATGCAAAACAACCACTGTGAAAGAATAGAGAAATTCCAAGCGCTTTCGTGACTACTCACATTATCAAGGATCTATGAAAGTAAAGCCTCAAAGGAAGGTATATAAAGGGGTAGCCCACACCTCACTATCAGATCCCACAACAAAGAAACACCTTACGCGAGACAGCAGGCCCGCCAGCCGAACTAGACAGTTCCTTCACACAACCCACCACCAAACTATTCTACCCAAGAAATAAGAGTAAGTAATAAGAAATAGAATAGTTTGATGGTGGGTTGTGTGAAGGACCTGTCTAGTTCGGCCGGGGGCCTGCTGTTTCGCGTCAGGTGTTTCTTTGTTGTGGGATCTGATAGTGAGGTGTGGGCTACCCCTTTACATACCTTCCTTTGATGCTTTACTTTCATTGTTACTTGATAATGTGAGTAGTCACGAAAGCACTTGGAACTTCTCTATTCTTTCACAATGGTTGTTTTGCATATATATATATATATATATATAATATATATAATATATATATATATATATAAAATATATATATATATATTTTATATTATATATTATATATATATATACATATTGTATATATATATGTATATCCATCCAACTTAAATACTTAGGAAAATATTGTATAAAACTTGAGCAAGAAATGTGTGATGTAACTTACCTTCATTACAAGATGTCGTGTTGAATTTTTGTCCCAGTTGAGAGCTACCAGGTTCTCGAGTCCTGCAGGGTAAACACACTCATCATGTTTCATCAGTCTTATGAATGATACAATGATACTACTCAAGTATTATAAAGTACATAAACAAACTACGTCCCAAGGAGCTGTTTGTGGCCACTAAGTACGCATTTTTGTCGGTCGTTCGGTCAAAATTTACATCAAGGTCTTACAGGGTTCGAGTTCCTACTGTAATTTACATGCTATGTGCTCTTACCTGCCTCATCTCATTTGAAAGCCTTTTTGTTGTTTTGAGACCCACAAACAGGGAATAGGATGAAATTGTAGACATTTATGGGCCAGCGATTTCATTTTGTAGACTGACTATTTCACTGATGTAATTATGATGCACGAGCATGTTCCAAACTCTGGTCATATGAAGTGATGTTCTTAAGAAGGGTATAGCCAGTGTGTAGTTGGCATTTGCTACCCATCTTGTTGTGTAGCTGTGTTTTCGTTGTCCGTGAAGTGGAGTCAAGGATACAAACATAAGCAACATTGGCCATGAACTTAACAATAAGGCCACCCATATTCCTACTGAATTGAAGGCTCTCCTGAAATTACAGACCTGTCCAGGCTGGGTCCAGGCGAGAGATGAGTCATGTTTCTCTGTTCTCTTTTCTGTGAAAAAGTCGTAGATGAGACGCAGAGCAGGCAACCCAATAAAATGGAGCCATATATAAGTGTGAATGCACTAGTACAGAGAGGATGAGAGATACATTTAATTGCTGTTAGCTTTCTGGCCACCATGTTTGAAAGATTTATTACAGGATTCTTCATAATTAATTTGGAATAAAATTTCTCCCCAAGGATATCAACATCATTCCCGGGTTCCAACACTCTCCAATATGTTCTTAACACTGCTCCAACATTATTATCATGGTGCCTAGAGACGATCGTTAGCATTTTCTCAGAAGTAAATGTAATGTGCCATCGTTGTCCCTAGGCTGATGTACTAGTAATTGATGTAACTGAGGAGCTAGATTTTCCTGTTTTGGATATGTAAATGTCAGAGTACAGTCCTAAGTTTGTGCGTAGAATTCTGGGGTAAGTTGAAGATGGTCAATGAAGTAGACATTCCATAACAATGGTCCAAGCGTATTTCCTGTGGAACACTGGCACCAAAATTGTCTTGTTGATTCTCATTGATAACTACCCTCGGAGATCTACCTGGAAGGTAATCACTATGGAGGCATAACGCAGAGCCAGAGACTCCTATTACTTGAAGTTTTACCAAGACTTCCTGGTATCATACACGATCGATAACGCCAACATAGTCCAGTGCAATCACACAGCTGATTTTGCATTCATGCTATGATTGGTACCACAAAGTGGAAAAGTATAACAGCACATCAGCAGAATAATATATTCTGAAAGAAATATTGAAGGCCATAATGAAGCAAACAGAAGTCGAAAAACACTGCTATCTGCCTTGAGATTATTGTCTCGTGGATCTTGCCAATGACTGACAAGATTGACACTTATCTGCAGTTGATTTCCGCTCGGCTCTTCGTTTTGTAAACAAGGACTACATTTACCTTTTTCCGCGGAGAACGTCATTTACACTTTGGTAGGCAGTGCTGATACATGCTAGATAAAGATGATGCTAGCTGACACGCACATTTCCAGAGATTCAAGAAGATACACTTCATCCTGCCCTACTGTCACCACTGACAAATTAGACAGTTCTTGTGGTTAGCAAAGGAGGGTCCCTTGCTGGATCAGGAACATGTTTGTTGACAGCAATGCTCAGCAACAGGTCCACTGTTGACTGCTAGTGGACACGGTCCCATCCTGCCAATTAAGAGGTCCTTGACCAAGATCATCAGATTTTAGAGCCCACTCTGCCTGACGCCATTTAGAGATGGCCCACTTTTGTACTTCTTCCATTTGCCAACAGGCTTGCCTGCGCAAGTTTTTGTTATAAGAACATAAGAACATAAGAAAGAAGGAACACTGCAGCAGACCTACTGACCCATGCGAAGCAGGTTCATGTCCCCCTTCCCCCCGGATAAGCCCAATGACCCACCTAGTCAGGTCACTTCCACTTAAGGAAGGAGCAAGGCATCAGACCTGGTAGCACAAGCTAGTGAGGAAAAACTCAAACCCACCCACACCCACTCATGCATTTATCTAACCTATTTTTAAAACACAACGTTTTAGCCTCTATAACTGTGCTCTGGAGTTTGTTCCACTCATCCACAAATTTATTGCCAAACCAGTGCTTTCCTATATCCTTCCTGAATCTGAATTTTTTCAACTTGACACCATTGCTGTGAGCCCTGTCTTGGCTGGAAATTTTCAGCACACTATTTACGTCCCCTTTATTTATTCCTGTTTTCCATTTATACACCTCGATCATATCCCACCTAATTCTACGCCTATCGAGAGAGTGCAGATTCAGGGCCCTAAGTCTATCCTCATAGGGAAGATTTCTGATACATGGGTCAACTTTGTCATCCTCCTTTGCACGTTTTCCAGTGCATTTACATCCATTCTGTAACACGGTGACCAGAACTGTGCAGCATAATCTAAATGAGGCCTAACCAATTATTTATACTTCTTGATATATAGCCAAGTATTCTGCTAGCTTTATTGCAAGCACTAATGCACTGTTGTCTTGGTTTTAGATTACTGCTAACCATAACTCCTAAATCCTTTTCGCAATCAGTAATATTAAGATCTATATTATTTAGTTTATGTGGCATGGTTATTTACCTGTCCAAAATTTAGAACTTTGCATTTGTCTACATTAAACTGCATCTGCCACTTTAAATCATCCTGGAATGCTCTAGTGTCCTTATTAGAATGAATTGGACGGCCTATTTTTGTGTCATCAGCGAATTTGCTTATGTCACTATTTATTCCTTCATCTATGTCGTTTATGTAAATTGTGAACATCAATGGGCCCAACACTGACTCCTGCAGAACACCGCTTGTGACGTGCCCTAATTCTGATTTCTCTCCATTTACACAAACTCTCTGCTGCCTATTTGTCAGCCATGCCTCTACCCAGGAAAAAATTTCTCTTGTTCCGTGAGCCTTAAGTTTCCTCAATAGCTTCTGATGTGGAACTCTATCAAAAGCCTTACTGAAGTCCATATACACAATATCATATTCATTACCATGATATACCTCCTCAAACACCTTAGTGAAAAAAAGTTAGCAAATTCGTAAGACAGGAACGCCCCTTTGTAAAACCGTGTTGAGATTCATTAATCAATTTGTGCCTGTCAAGATGGTTACGAATTGCTTCGGCAATTATTGATTCCTTAAATTTCCCACTATGGAGGTAAGGCTTATTTGTGTATAGTTCGACGCTAAGGATCTCTCACCTCCCTTGTAAATAGGTATTACATTTGAAATTTTCCACTTATCAGGTACTATGCCAGTTTGTAGTGATATGTTGAAAAGATTAGCCAAAGGTATGCTAAGTTCCTCTTTACATGCCTTTAATACCCTTGCAAACAGTTCATTAGGGCCTGGGGATTTGTTAGGTTTTAATTTCTCTATCTGTCTGAGGACCATGTCACTAGTTACTGCAATCGTGCATAGTTTAATATCGTCCTGTTCTACATAATCTATTCTTTCAGAAATTTCGCTAGTATTTTCCAGGGTAAAAACTGAAAATTTCACACATATCCTTATCACTGTCAGTGATCTGACCAGAGTTACTCTTAAGTGGGCCTATCTTGTCTTACTTCTGTATACCTGAAAGAACCCTTTTGGGTTAGTCTTCGTATCCCTTGCAACCTTAGCCTCATAATTCTTTTTTTGCTTTTCTTATTCCTTTTTTTTTATTTCTCTCTTTAACTGAATATATTGATTTCTTAACTGCCCATCCCCTCTTTTGATACGCCTATATACGCCTCTCTTTTGACCAATGAGATGTTTTAATCTATTGTTCATCCATTTGGGATCATTTTTGTTAGATTTAATTTTTCTACTCGGAACAAAAGTTGTCTAGGCAGCTAGAACTATGCTCTGAAAAACGTCATAGTGGCAACCAAGATCACCTACCTGACCCATAGTCAGGTCATCCCAATTTAGCCCACCCAGGTAATTTCTCAGTCCCATGAAATCAGCAAAACAAAAGTCTGGGACAGAGATTTGATTGCAGTTACCTGGGTAATTCCATGATATATTGAAACTATGTGATTTGTGATCACTTTCCCCAAGCTCATCATCAACCTCAAGATTATTAATTAACGATTCTTTGTTGGCAAGAACCAAGTCAAGCAGATTGTTCTCCTCTAGTTGTTTATGTCGCAACCTGTTCTAAAAAGCAATCCTGAACCATATCAAGAAAGTCACTAGACTCAAGATTTCCTGTTGCATTGTTCCAATCAATTTGTCTAAAGTTAAAATCTCCCATTAACACAACATTTTTATATCTAGATGCCTTATGAATTTCGTCCCATAACACCTTAGTGCACTCCCTATCAAGGTTTGGGGGCCTATAATTCACAACCAAAATTAATTTGTCACGACCCTCGAGAAACTGCAGCCGAACAGATTCTGTGTCCGATGTTTCTAATCTTATATAATGTCTAAGATAATTTAAATTATCTCTGACTAACATCGCCACTCCACCACCCTTCCTGTTGACATTATCAGTGTGGTGGTATAGTTTATAACCCTGTAGGTTGCATTCGGAAGGCATTTCTCTATCTTTCAGGTTGAACCAGGTCTCTGTTATACCAATAATATCTATATTGCTTGCACTTGCAAGTAATCTTTGCTCATCTGTCTTATTTCTTAGACTCCTACTATTTGAATAGCAAACCTTAAGGGAGTTAGTCACTCATTGCCCTCTACTATCTTGTTTGTTGATCAATTTATTTGATTTTACTAGCAACTTCATTTCGAATATTGTCTTTAAAACATATACCTGAGGTATCCTGGTAATATCTGCTGTTTTCAACCTTAATACTGCAGCCTGATTGTTTCCCACAATCACCCATACCTCTATAATCTATAGGTTTTAAAGTCTTAGACAAGTCATCAATTACCCCCTCAATCGAATTGGCTAATGCAACCACTCCAGCCCCAGAGAGATGAACCCCATCCCTTGCATACATATCACGTTTGCAATAGAATTTGTCCCAGTTACCAATGAATGGATTGCAAGTTCCGTCTCTGTCTCTCTCATTGTATGTCTCTTTCTCTCGGTCTGTATGTGTCTGTATCTATCTGTCTCTGTGCTTATTTCTCTCTCTCTCTCTAGCTACAGACCACTTACCAATAAAATATGAATTTGGGCCGTTAATATTTGGCTGGCCATAGCCCTCAGTGTAGGATGACAGGGATAACTGAAGATCCTCAGCTGATTGGGTGGAGTGCCACAAGACCAGTGTCCATCCTCCTTCATAGCTACCTGGTTCGAGGCCCATGTCACACAACGCCTGATGGAGAATATATGTAGTGTGTATCGAGCTTAGTGGATGGAGAATCAACCCTTCATATCTTTTATATGAACCAGAGTTAAGAACTTCACATAAAATAGGAAAACTAATATAATACTAACCTGAAGAGACACAAATAGAGCATCATTACTGCAGTCTTGACTTACCACTAGTAAACATGCGAACTCGGATAAATGTGTTGATAAGAGCCTAGTTACCTTGTGCAATTATGTAGATAGTGAGGCTTTATTTTTAGTGTATAATATTACATAGCTCAATATAATGTAAGATATAATGAAACAAGAGCAACTAATGAGACGTTTATAAAGGTTACGTTTCGCTCTTCTGGAGATTATCAAGCCAGTACAAACTGTATATGAATTAGGAGGGTATATAAGGAGAACATGGAAAAACTGAACTAAGTTAAGACGACGACAACGACGACGACGACGACGAAGAAGAAGAAGAAGAAGAAGAAGAAGAAGAAGAAGAAGAAGAAGAAGAAGAAGAAGAAGAAGAAGAAGAAGAAGAAGAAGAAGAAAATTAAAGGGAATGAAAATAGAAGTAGAAGAGAAAGAGTAAAAAGTAGAAGAAAATATAGATGAAGAAGTAGAAATAGAAGAAAAAGAGAAAAAACCAATGATTTGTTGGGTAGCAGGAGGAGTAACAGAAGAAGTAGCAGTGATTTGTTGTCTAGCAAAAGCAACAGCAGCAGTGATTTGTTGGCTGGCAGCACCAGCAGCAGTATGTGATTTTTTTGTTTTGCGGAAGCATTGATTAATTGTCTGTCAATAGCAGTGGTAGCAATTATTATTTTTATAATCAATGAGGAAGCGCTAAACCCGCAGGAATATACAGCGCCTGAGGGGTAGATGGAAGGCATTCAGGCTTAATTCAGGGAACTGGAGCACAGATCCAATTCCCTACATCAAGAGCTTCTCACCAGCATCAAGGAAGTAGTAGCAGTGATTTTTTTGTCTAGCAGTAGCAGTGGTTTGTCTAGCTGCAGCATCAGTGATTTGTTGTTTGGCAATAACAGTAATAATAACAGTGATTTTTTTGTCTTGCAGCAGCAGTGATTTGTTACCTAGCAACAGCAGCAGCAGTGATTTTTCTGGTAGCAGCAGTAGCTGTGTTTTATTTGGCAGGAGCAGGAGCAACAACGGCAACAACAGCAGTGATTTGTTATCTGTCACCATCAGCAGCAGTAAATTAAATGATTTGTTGTGATAAGGTGATAACTGGGTTTGTGGTTTTAAAGAAGGTTCTTGTTAATATTTCAGAAATGACGAAACTGCCAAAGTGGCTGGTGGCGGTTCGGAGTTGTAAGCAAATTTTTTTCTGGTTGTCGCATCACTTGTCACTAGGATTTGCGCTGCTTTTCCGAGGTGTAACCTGTCTCAGTCTTTACAGGGAATAACGTAATAATTTGCCACTTTATTCCTGGTGAGTTCTGTAATGGATAAGCTGGATTGTGGCTTGGTAAGAGAGCAATGAAGCACAGATATTAAGACTAAAATTAACTCTAAATATGGAAGAAAAAGATCTGAGAAGGATTGAACGTACTAAAATCCAGGAAGACAAAGAGTTAGAAATCTTTCGGGCTAAAGAGAGAGAGACAGAAAGAAAGTAAGAGAGTTTGCTGCTTCATAAAATGGAACAGGTAACAGGGTAGACATATTTAATTTGGAACATGATGTAAAGTTTGTCCCAAAATTTTTGGAAAATAATCCTGATGACTTTTTCATACTGTTCGAAAAAAATAGCAAAATCCAAGAAGTGGCCAGACAGTAACAGGGCCACATTAGCAAGATTATTGTAATTAAGAAGAAGCGTTAAACCGCAAGGGTTATACAGCGCAGCAGGGCAGGGAAGGATGCAGGGAAAATGGGTGGCAAGAGGGAGAGGGATGATTATTAAGGTATGGATTGCAGCGGGGTAGTGGATAATGCAGGGGTAGAGTGATAGCTAGAGATTAAGGTAGAAAGGACGGAGGAGAGTGCTAGAGGCATCATCATCAGAGTTTGTGTAGTAAATCAGTCGCTGTTAAAGAATCAGTGAGATGGTCTGGATTAAAGGAGGGTCCATCAGCATGAAGAGAAGGTAAAGAAAGGGCAGCGGAGTGGAGACGACGTTGGAGGTAAATTCTGCGTGCTCGTTGATAGAGTGGACAGTCCAACAGAATGTGGCTAACAGATACTGGAACTTGACAATTCTCACAGAGAGGAACAGGGCGCTTCTCCGTGAGATACCCATGAATAAGACGAGTGTGGCCGGTGCGAAGACGGGAAAGAGTAGTCTCCAACCTCGACAGTGATGACAAGAAGATGGCTAGAAACCTATACTCGGTTTAATGAATGAAGTTTGTTATGGAGCAGATCAGACCAACGTTGTTGCCAACGGGTGCGAAGGTGGGTAGCAATTTCATCAAAATAGTCTGTGAATGGAACACCTCTATATGAAACTGGGAGGTCATGTACTGCTGACCGTGCAGCAGTATCTGCCTATTCATTGCCCTGTACGTCAACATGACCGGGGACCAAACAAAAAACAATATCTTTGTGCTTGCTAGAGATACGGTGAAACCAAAGTTGGATACGAAGAACTAGGGGGGGAGGTGTATCAAATTTTCGTATAACCTGTAAAGGGAGTCTGAAATGACCGCAGGCATAGATGCTATGCGGATAAGTGCTACAAGAATGGCATACAATTCAGCCATAAAAATTATAGCCGGGGATAATAAATGTCCTCGCACGAAACTGTCCGGAAACACTGCCGCGAATCCGACGCCGTTAGAAGGCTTAGAACCAACGGTGTACACTGCGATGGCATGAGAATGAGAATGGAAGTCTGTCAAGAAAAAGATAGTGGGAAGCCACCGTAGGTAGTTGGGCTTTTGCACATGGAAGTGGGAAAGAAGAGACACGAACTGCTGGAACTTTCCAAAAGGGACAGGGAAAAGTGAGATGCTACATGAACATAGAAAGGTAGTAACTGAAGAGAAGACAAGAGTGAATGGAGGTGGAAAGACAAGGAGTGGAGTAAGCAGGGGCGACAAACAAATAATGAACGTCTACTAACATCAGTGACCATCCTATATACGGAAAGAGTGTGGAGGTCATGAGATCGAACATAACAGCGAAGGCAATGAGCATCACGGCGATCGAACAAGGATGGAATATTCGCTTCTGCATAGAGGCTCTCAACAGGGCATGAACGAAAGGCACCAAGTCTCAGACGGAGATCTCTGTGATGAATGGGATCTAACTTAGACAGAGTTGCAGGAGAGACCGCAGAATAGATTTGGTCACCATAGTCCACCTTAGCAAAGACTAGGGTGGAATGTAAACGGAGGAGAGTGCGACGAACTACTCCCCATGAACGATGTTTGAGAACTTTAAAGGGATTTAGCCGACTACGGCAAGTTGTCTTTAAAGAAGAAACGTGTGGTCTCCACGTCAGCCGGCGATCAAAGAGCAGGCCCAGAAACTTGACCGTATCATACATCGGAATACTTGAACAGTGTAAGTACAAGGGAGTATCCGGAATGAGAGGACGTCTAATGAAGGTAATGAACTGGGTTTTTGTACTAGAAAATTTAAAGCCGTGAGAAGTGGTCCAATGGGAGACTCGGTTTATCACAACCTGAAGGGAGGCTGGTGCTAGTAGACAGTCAGTGCCCGAGTAAGCTATAGCAAAGCCATCAACATAAAGTGACGACCAAATATGTGAAGGAAGATCGGAAGGTAGGTTATTTATAGTTAAGAGAAAAAGAGTAGTGCTGAGGACACAACCTTGCGGACCTCCCTCGGCTTGTACAAAGTCCGAGGAAAGCGAGGCGCCAATACGGACCTGAAAATGTCTATCGAACAAGAAAGCAGTGATGAAGTTTGGTAGATTACCACAAAGACCTAAGGAGTGGGCTTGGGCAAGGATGTTATACCTCTAAGTGGTGTCATATGCCTTCTCTAGATCACTAAAGACCGCTAGGACAGAGTGGTTGTTAGCAAAGGCATTTCGAATATACGTATCTAAGTGGAGCAAGGGGTCTACAGTAGAGCGGCCTTTGTGAAAGCCATATTGGCGAGGAGGAATGGTTATTGTGTGTCTCTAAGAACCACATCAGATGTCTATTCACCAACCTTGCATACCACACTGGTCAGGGTAATGGGACGATAGTGAGAGGTGCCAAGTTCTGAGGCACCCGTTTGCGAAACGGTAGTACAATAGCCGATTTCCAGTGTTGAGGGAGAACCCCTCGCTTCCAAATTAGATTGAAAAGACGTAAAAGAACGGGAAGGGCCGTAGAATGGAGATGTTGAAGCATACTGATGTGGATATCATCAGATCCCGGGGTCGACAGCTGGCAAATGGAAAACGTGGACTCCAGTTCTAGAAGAGTAAAAGGTATGTTATATGGTTCCACCCCATCAGAGGAGAAATCTAAGGGTAACTGCTCTCTGGTAGGTTTAGACGCAAGAAATGAGGGACAGAGGTGAAGCCCTGGGGAGAAAAGGACAAGATAGTTTCCGATTGCTTTGGTAACTTCTAAGGGTTCCGCGACATCAACTCCAGCAACCCGCAAATCGGGAGCTAGGTCCGGAGTGTACTTACCACACAATTTCTGCACCTTTTTCCAAATCGCACACATAGGGGAAGACGAGTTAATGGTAGACATGTAGTCTCACCAACAAGTGCATTTAGTGTCGCGGATGACACGGCGAGCGACTGCACTTGCTCACTTGAAATCCGACAGACGCTCTGTGGTACAATTATATCGACAACGGCCACATGCAGCACATTTTAAATGCACTGCACAGGCGCATGTAGGAGACCACCAAGGTATGCATGCCTGAGAACGCCTACCTGAGGTTTGGGGGATAGAATGCATCGCAACAGATAGGACTAAGGTCGAAAAGTGGTGTGCCAGTTCATCAAAAGAGGACGAAAGGGGGTCCTCACAACAGGTGGTAAGATGGGAGTATAAG